AGATGGGGCTCTTTATCTCCTGGAGATTTTTCTGGGACGCTGCTCCACGAAGCACACTTTTAGAAAGTGAGATGCTTTCTCCTGTTCTTTCCAGCCCTGGCGCAAGGGTTAAAGATGAGGAAGGCAGGCCCTGCCATAAAATTCAAGTCCAAGACCTTTGTCCTTGCTGTTTTTTCTCCAACGGAATGCTCTCTCCCAGAGAGGACAGCCTCACTCTCTAACTTCCTTCAGGTCTCTCTCCAAAGCCTATCTTATCAGAGGAGCCTTCCCTGATTTCCCTGTATAGAACAGCCTTGGGGTCCCTGGCCCTCTCTCCAGGTGCCTCCATTGTCCTAAGGCAGCCCACTGTGCCTTCTCCTCTCCCAGTCCTACATGTAAGGGTGTAGGACAGACATTATTGGGGATTTTACTGATTATTAAATAACGTGATGCATGTCAGAAAAGAAAAAGTGTATAAAGAAACAAATGGAAAAGGAAAAAATGTGAAAGTTTCATGACCCAGAGATAAGCATTGTTAACAGCTAGGTGCGGGCCCTGCTGTTCAACTTTTCTCTGCACGCAAAGATATAGGCACAAAGGGAAGAAGAGTAGGAGGAAAAAATGCATAAATAAATATTATTATCACACACACACACACACCCAGTTGTAATCTGGCTTTTCATCTGATGTTCTCTTCTGTCCTAGCTAATAGCTCCTTCCTGGCCTTTCCAACCACACGCTTAGTGTCTTGTTAGATGTCGGGAGGACCCCTGCTCAGGTGACACTTGTACCCCCTCACCCCTTAGCCTAGGTCACTGTGTCCCTCAAGGAATTGCCCCTGGGCCTGAAAGGGGCGCTCCAGGGCCTTGGGGTGGGAGCCCCACAGGAGCAGCACAGAGCACCTGCTGGGCACCCTTAGTTTCTTAGAGAATTTCACAGGGTAGCTTAGGCTATGCCGCAGGGACATTGTTTGCTGATGGAGCCTACTCCACACCCTGCAGCTACAAGAGAAAGCATGAGAAGCGTGGAGGGGCTCCAGGGCTGTCTTCCAACTCCCTCTTGCTTCCTCTTACCTATACCAAACCCCAAGAGCGGTTCTTCTGCTCCACTCCAAACTTACTTTCAAGAAAAGATATGAGTCACTGGCAACTTGAAGTGCCAGTGCCAACTACCAGGCCCACAAAACTGCCCCTTCCAAGCAAGGGTAGTTCTACAGAGGCTCAGAGAGAAAAAGTGACCTGCCCAGCAAACAGGAGCAAGAGTTGGGCCTCAGGTGTAGGACTCCAGGATGATGGAAAATTCTGGGCCTGCTGGTGAATAAGTCTGAGTCAAGATGGCTGTGGGATGGTGGTGGCCAAGGGACTGATTGTTTTGGGGTTACAGGAGATGACCTCTGGCCTAGGTCATCACAGCCTTGGGTGCAGCTGATCCACCAAGCAGGTAAGAGATTGATCTGTGTTTGGAAAAGCCTTCAAGAGACAGAAGTACCAAATGAGTTTTCCCCTAAGGGGTCTGCCCGTCTGCCTCCAGGGAAGGCCAATCTTTATCTTTGGCTCTACTACCTAGGAGCTTAACACAACCACTTTGAGGCTTCCTGATAACCTGGTGAGGTCTGTTGCTTCAGAGCAAGTTTGAGGAGAGGGCTGAAACAAGACCTGTATTTTTAAAAAATTCCCAAGCCTTTGTCACTAGTGTCCCCAAGACTTGCTAAATATGTCCTTGAGTTTGCTACTCTGTATGGATTGTTAACCATTCCCTCTGAAGGAGAGAGGGCCTGTGTGTGTGCGTGCGTGCAAGCACACACGTGTCCATGTGTGTGGTCAGTTTGGGAGAAAATGGCACCAGGAAAAGCCACCTGCTTGGACAAATGTGGTGAAGCTGAGTTACTTGATTTGGGATGGCACCAGTCTGGGATACAATTGTCTGAGAGTACAGATGTGCTCAGAGCAGTGGGAAGGTTTTTCTGGGTTTATTCAGATGTGTTGAGGAGCGATGATGCCTCAGAACCTCTCCATGGATAAGCGCATCTACTCACTGGCAAAGAAGAAAGATACCTGAGGTTTCTACAGATTCTCACAGATATCAGGCCTAGACGTTATAGTTTTGGCAGTTGGGGAAAAAAAAAAATGGCTGTACCATTTCAGTTCCCCCGACACAACATTATCCTCAGATCCAGCTTTCCTAACATTCCATAGAAACTCTTATCCGTGTAGCTAGCAACTCAGGGAATTTTGCCAAAATCATCTAAGATATCTAACTCCCTACCCAGGTCAGGCTGTTTTTTAAAATACAGTTTTGCTGCTGCTGCTTCTCCTTCCTCTCCTTCTTCTCCTCCCCCTCCTCCTCCTTTCTTCCCCTGATTATACAAGATAGGCCAGATGGAGTGATATATATGTATGTTTACTGTAGAAAATTCATATTGGGGATGCTTGGGTGGCTCAGTGGATTAAAGCCTCTGCCTTCAGCTCAGGTCATGATCCCAGGGTCCTGGGATTGAGCCCCACATCGGGCTCTCTGCTTAGCAGAGAGCCTGCTTCCTCCTCTCTCTCTGCCTGCCTCTCTGCCTACTTGTGATCTCTGTCAAATAAATAAATAAAATCTTAAAAAAAAAAAAGAAAGAAAGAAAATTCGTATTGTTTACCTTTGACTGTCTCTCTCTCTCTCTCTTTTTTTTTAAAGATTTTATTTACTTATTTGATAGAGAGCACACATGCAAATGTGGGGAAGAGCAGAGGAGCAGATAGAAGGGGAGGTGGAGGGAGGAAAGGGAAAGAATCTCAAGCCCACTCCACACTGAGCACTGAGTGTGGAGACTAAGTTGGGGCTGGATCTCACTACTCTGATCACAACCTGAGCAGAAACAAGAGTCAGATGCTTAACGGACTGAGCCACCAAGCCACCCCTACCTTTGACTATCTCTTTAAGATAAATTAAAAGAAGTAGAGTAAGTGGATCAAAGATCTGTCCATTGGGTAGCCTCAATTTACACTCCCAGCTGCCTAGATGGCAATGCCTACTCACCAGTATGAAGTACTCATGTTTTAATGTTTGTCAGGCTGATTGACAAAAACCAGTATCTCATTTTAATTCATGTGCTCAGTTTGGACTGAGGCCGAGTATTTTTACATTTCCTCAGAAAACGATAGCTGATCTGCTGCTCTTCCCTTCTCAAGGAGAGTAAGTCCTTTTTCTTCATTTGTCTTCTTATAAGGCCTTGAAACAAAGAACCACTAGGAGACTGGCTGGAGTTCTTGGGCTGACTATCATATGTCAGTGACTGAGCTACTAGTTATAACCCTTGAAGGAAAGTTCCAGTGCACACAAAATTATCAAGGGTATATTTTTATTTTGGAATTGTTGTTGTGTGTGGTAACTTAGAAAAACTCTGTGGTTTCAGAGTTAACAGAGTGCTATAATTTTTCTCAGGAAAGTGTGGTAGGGGCAGCCAGCTGTGTGTCTCCAGCAGTCACCTCAGGCACCCATAAACACCTACAGATGGAGTAATTAAGCTGTGTCACTCTTTGTCACCCCAAATGAATTATCTATATGAAAAATAAAAATAAAATTGCACCATTTCTTTAGAATGCCTTGGAGCTACTTTTAGTTTCAGTCTGAAAGAGTCTTCTCAATATCCAGGAAGAGAGATAATGCAAATTCTGACTTACAGATAAAACTTCCGGAAAGGGCCAAGGGTGAGCGGCAGTATGTCATACCAGGAGTAAGTCTGACAGGAGCTATCTGATGGCACACATGTCCTTGGGTCCAGGTGGGCTGGCCAGGCTCTCCAGGTAAGCCGGCGTCTTCCTTCCCGAAGACCACATTCTCAGGGCTCTCTAAGTGGCCTCTCTGGTCATCTCCTAGTTTTCTCTCCTCCAGGAAAGGACTGCACTTGCTTTACGACAGTTAGTAGAAGAGTTTGAGTAAAGCCATTAGTAAGCAAATGGGATAACCGGAATCCCACAAGGCGAGGGACTGAGGGATTATCTGGTATCTTGGTTCTCAGCCTTTCTCAACCTACCAACTGCTAACCATTCCCAGTAACTGTCAGTGACCAGACCAATGTAATTGTCTTTTGAAGGCCCAATGGTCCCTAGGGAACCAATGAAGACTGTAGAGCAGGAATTTAAGTTTTAGAAGTGTCACTGCATATTCTATGGAAGAAAAGCTGCTAAATTGTTAAGTGGAAGGTAGAGAGCCAGATGAGAGGATTGGAATAGGGCCCTGAAGTCGCCGGAGACAAAAGCCTGGATTGGAGAGATACTTGGGAGATAAAGCAAACGGGATTAGACAACTGACAGGAGAGGGGGTGGAAAGAGGGAGAGTAAAGACTCCCAGACTTCCAGGGGCACCCAGGTGGTTCAGTCAGTTAAGCCTTCGAGTCTGGGTTTGGGCTCAGATCATGCTCTCAGGGTCCTGAGATCCAGTCCCAGTTAGGTTTCCGCGTTCAGCGGGAGTCTGCTTAGGATTCTCTTCCTCCCCTCTCCCGCTACCTCTCTCTCTCTCTAATAAAAATAAATAAATCTTTAAAATAAAAAAAGACTCCCAGGCTTCTGGTTTAGGCCATCTGGGAAGACAGTGGGCCCATTACTGTAGGTTAGGGCAGGAGAGCAAGCGCAGGCTTGGCAGGAAGGCGTACCTACCGCCCCCCGAAGGAGGTGTACAAGTGGTTGAATATAAGGCTGTGGCGCCTGGGAGAGGGGTCTGGACCGGTCGGCAAAGCAATGGAGAGGAAGCCGTGAGGTATTATTAACAAGAGTAAGAAACTGAAGAGGCTTCTCGGTTTGGGGTGTGCAGAGTGTGGGAGGTAAAGTGGTGGGGTTCCAGACGGGCGCTCAGCCCACTCACCATTCAGAGCCCAGGAGACTGGTGGGGATGGGTGGGGAGGAACCGGATTTGGTCCCTCCCGCCCTTCCCGCCCCCTTGTCCTCCTCGGCTATTGGACAATTCCTCTGTCCGTCAAGAGCCCGCCTCCGCAGGTGAACCAATAAGAGCCGGCGAGAGGATGCTTCCTTCTCCATCTAGATTTGCACAAGGGGCCGCTTCAAGGAGGTGAGGCTGGAGGAGCGGCAGCCGCGGCACTGTGCGCAGGCGCGGAACTGACGGGACGGACCAGGCGGCGGTGGCGCTAGCTGGTGAGAGGAGAGCGAAGGTCCGAGGTAAGGAAGGGGGGCGATCGTGGGATGCGGACTCTTCCTCCAACCCCACTGGGTGTCGCCTGCGCCTGGCTCATCCCGGCCCGCAAGATCGGATCAGGTGATGGGGTGGAGAGCCCAGGTGAGATGAGGTGAGTGGGCGGACCCGCAGCGACGGTCACCCCACCGCGCGCACGCGCCACGTGGGCTCGCGGACTTGCCAAGGACCCTTGGCTTCGGACCCGGGCACCGCACGAGCTGCTTTAGCCCTTGGAGCACCCCTGTGAGCTAGGCGCCTGAATTTGCCTGTTTCGCAGGCTGAAGCTGGGGCTCAGGGACGTGGCCGGTGCGGGCTTGAGGGAGATCGGGCTCGGTGGACTCCGGAGCCCGAACTCTTCTTTATGAGGCTGTGGGTCAGAGACTTGAACTTGGGACCTGTTTGGTTTTTTGAGGGGCGCGAAATTGTTTGGATCCCGGCTGCGGCGGACCTTCTTGGGCTGGAAAGGGTTGCCTGGTTTCTCTGCAGGGCCCGGGCGGAGTGGGAGGTGCCAGGCGCCCTCTGTACTCCTTGACCTACCACCCGGTCCCCAAGTTCAGCGGGGTGGGCTGAGGGGAGGAGGACGATCCTCAGTTCTGTAAGCTCCCAGTGCCTCAACAGACAAACTTGTGGAGGGCTGGTCTTCTGAACAAAATCCGAAAACACGTGGGAAACGCTCCTCTTAGGTCATCTGAGAAAATAAAATAGAGCAGGGTTTTTTTGGTTTGTTTGTTTCTTTGTGTTTTTTTGGTCTAAGAAAAAAATGCCATCAGAGTCTGTTGAAGCTGCTAGGAAACTGTTCCTTTCGTGTCCTTGGGGAGGCATATGAATCTTGTGGAAATCAGTTTGGCAATATGAGTCTACACCCTTTGACCTACTGATTCTGGCCTTTGGAAAATAAGTAGGTTAAAACCTAAGTAGGGAAAAGGTTGGTGTGCAACACAGTGCAGTTTGGTGTTCATAAATGTTAGCCAGTGGAAACGATCTCTAAATCTACAACATTGGAGAACAGTTAAGTAAATTGAGATTGTTTATGCCAAAATGGGGTATTGCACATGTATGGAATGTAGTATTGTGAATAAAATACTCTTAAAAAGAAAATCACAGTGTAAGTTGTGGTTTCAACTATATAAAAATGTATACAGAAGGACTAGAGGAGTCACCTAATGATAAAAGTAATTACTACCTTTTTGGAGCAGAAGAGTCATATTTCATTAAATCCTCAAAAAAACCTCATGAGGCTAGTGTTCTCATCCCACCGTCAGACAGCTGGAGCTCAGTCAAGTGAAGCAGTGTATCTGATGTTAGAGAGCTCATGTCATACCTAGTTTGCTCTTGGGCCTTTGGCAATGCCATGTCAACCAGTAGTTGAGGGCCTGTTGTACACCTTGTGTAGGGCTGGGCCCTGGAAAGCCACTGGTGAGTAAGGGAACCTGGGTTCCTGATTTCATGGAGCTTATAGAACAGTGGAAAAGCAGATATTTAAATAAACACTTACAATCTGCTGGGGAAAGTGAACATGGAAGCTAGATCCTGGGCTCTGGCAAGGGAAAGGATTCGGGAAAGAAAAGAAAAAGAAGGAACCCCTGCGTCAGTTGTGAGGGATGAGTGAGCCCTGTGGGGAAGCCTATAGTGGCTCTCTAAGAGTGGAGAGCATATAAAAACCCTGTTTTCTCCACTTTCTGGAATGTTACTTATGTGTTGTAATGGGAGGTAGGGCAACTTACTTATGTATTTTGAATTTAGTCAACTCTTTTGAAGTTTATCTTAAACTGCATTTGTTCAGGATGGTAGCACATGTTTTCAGAAGTCATTGTTTGTTTGTTTGTTTGTTTTTTAAGATTTTATTTATTTATTTATATGATAGAGATCACAATAAAGCAGAGAGATAGGCAGAGAGAGAGGGGGAAGCAGACTCCCCGCTGAGCAGAGAGCCCGATGTGGGACTCAATCCCAGGATCCTGGGATCATGACCTGAGCCGAAGGCAGAGGCCCCAACCCACTGAGCCACCCAGGGTCCCCCAGAAGTCATTGTTTTTAAGAAAATGAATTTGAGCTTTCTTCAACTCTTTAATTTTCAGGTCTAAAGAAAGCCCCTTTTGCTGAAGGAACACATTTGCTGGTATAGTTTCATAATGCCAAGTACTTTGCCCTTCTGGATCTTAAAAAATTCTGCAAGGAGCGGCATTGCCACGTTACAGGGGGGCAAACGTTTATATTCAAGGTGGGCCTCAAATGGAAATGAAGCAAGTTGGAGACTCTTTTCCCACCTACCAAGCACCAGAAAAAGCAGTGTCCCGTGCAGTGGCTTCACTCTGCAGAAAGCCTCCAGACATACATCAACAGAGGAAGATGACTTTCAGTTGCAGCTCAGCCCTCAGCAGGTAAATGAAGTTCTGAGAGCTGGCGAGTCAGCCCACAAGATTCTTGACCTTGTCAGTGGAGTCCCAAATTCTGTGTTACGGTTTGAGAGCAACCAGCTGGCTGCCAATTCCCCAGTGGAAGACCGTCGAGGTATCGCTACCTGCCTGCAGACCAATGGTCTGATGTTTGGCATCTTTGACGGACATGGTGGCCATGCGTGTGCTCAAGCAGTGAGTGAGAGGCTCTTCTACTATGTGGCTGTGTCACTGATGTCCCAGCAGACCCTGGAGCGGATGGAGGGAGCTGTGGAAAGCATGAAGCCCCTGCTGCCCATCCTGCATTGGCTCAAGCGCCCAGGGGACAGTATCTACAAGGATGTCACGTCCGTGCACCTCGATCACCTCCGTGTCTACTGGCAGGAGCTGCTTGACCTGCACATGGAAATGGGACTCAACATTAAGGAAGCATTAACGCATTCCTTCCAGAGACTGGATTCTGACATCTCGCTGGAAGTCCAGGCGCCCCTGGAAGATGAGATGACAAGGAACCTTTCACTCCAGGTCGCCTTCTCTGGGGCAACAGCTTGCATGGCCCACGTGGATGGAGTTCACTTGCATGTGGCAAACGCTGGTGACTGTCGGGCCATCCTTGGGGTCCAGGAGGACAATGGCATGTGGTCTTGTCTACCCCTCACCTGCGACCATAATGCCTGGAACCCGGCCGAGCTGTCGCGGCTGAAGAGGGAGCACCCTGAATCAGAGGACAGGACGGTCATCGTGGACCACAGGCTGCTGGGCGTCCTCATGCCCTGCAGGGCCTTTGGGGACGTCCAGCTGAAGTGGAGTAAAGAGCTGCAGCACAGTGTCCTGGAGAGGGGCTTTGACACCGAGGCCCTCAATATTTACCAGTTCACCCCCCCGCACTACTATACTCCCCCCTACCTGACTGCCAAGCCTGAGGTCACCTACCACAGGCTGAGACCCCAGGATAAGTTCCTCGTGCTGGCCTCGGATGGTCTGTGGGACGTGCTGGGCAATGAAGAAGTGGTGAGGCTGGTGGTGGAGCACCTGGCGGAAGCAGGTCGGCACAAGCCAGACCTGGCCCAGAGACCTGCCAACCTGGGACTCATGCAGAGCCTGCTGCTGCAGAGGAAAGCCCAGGGGCTCCACGCAGCCGACCAAAACGCGGCCACACGTCTGATCAGACACGCCATAGGGACCAATGAGTACGGGGAGATGGAGCCTGAGCGGCTGACAGCGATGCTGACGTTGCCAGAGGACTTGGCGAGGATGTACAGGGATGACATCACTGTCACGGTGGTGTATTTTAACTCAGACTCAATAGACACCTATTACAGGGCGGGTTGAGAGGCTCCCGTCTGGCCAAGGTTAACTTAAATGCTTTGCTAAGACATTTTTCATTTATCCTTAAGCTGGCTCTTCAGACCTTACTGTTAAAAAGGCAGGCAGATGTCGCTTGCTTAAAAATAGACTGACGTGAGCGAAAAAAACCAGCCTTGGTTTAAAAACAGTAGCAGTGATTTCATGTCCCCGTGTGTTTTGGTCACCTTTTCCAGGTAGAGAGGGCAGAGCGTGGAGAGCATATGGGCTTGGGCCCATAGCCAAAGCCCTTTTATAAAGACACTGTTGTTAAACTCAGCCTGAGCCTTCCGAGGGTAGGTTTAATCATCGTTCTGAGAATGTAAAGAACTTCAGGATTTTCTGAGGTTATGCCGCAAAATCAGCACACTTGGCAGTTTTCCCCAGTTCACAGTCGTGGACAGCTAGACTATGAAGGAAGGTTTTGTTTAGTTTTTATTTTTAAATTGCTAAGACCTAGGTTTACAAAGCATATTCTAGAATACTTTTCTATGCAACATTCGAACTTTTTTGTGTGACTCTACTTGTGAAAACATTATGTGATGCTACACCCTCGTTGTGTTTTAGTTTGGCCTAAAACCAAGTCCTCAGAGTTGCAAACCGGCCTGCTTGTAAGCATGCTTGGAATGACTCGTCTTGGTTTTCAGCCGAGAGGGGTGAGGGTGGGTAAGGCCTCTGCACCAGCTGAATTCACTTGTGCAGCTGGCGAGCGCTTCTGCTGTGTCTCACCCCTTGAACCTTGAGCCATACTAGGAGGTAACTTCTGTCTAAGCCTTAATTCCTGGCCTTCCCTGCGTTAATAAAATACCCTCCAGGGCTTAGCCTCTGGGCAGGTTAATTGAGAGCACTTAGCCTTTCTGATTATACCTCTCAAGCGTTCTTCTGTGAATTCCACCTAATCCTCCTGCCTCTGCTCTGCTGACTGTGCGGTGCTGTCCCGGAGGAAGGCCCCCTCTCCATAGGGTTGCAGGGAAGGAGAAGATGTGATTATGTACTATGATAGTTGGGACAGGTCAGTGGGCAGGACTGGCACGTGCTATGGATTTTGGACTTAAGACTAGACCTGAGCCTGGACTGTGAAAACACAAAGGATTTGAGAAGTCACTAGCGAAGGCTGCCTGTTCGTCTCCTGAAAGGCGGGAGGGTAGGGGGAGGAGTGAGATTGGTCAGACAGGACACTTGCCTGGAGACTGTACCCTGAACGGCCTCAGCTGCTCCTCAGGGAGCGGACCATATTTAGTATAGGAGTCGGGGCAAAAATAAAAATGTGACCCGTAATGGCTTCTGTGGGCAGCACAGTCTTCGTGTTTATTTCAAATGAAGCCACGTGCCTCCTTTCTCGGGGAACAAATTTCATGTTCTCGTGAATGGCGGTGGCATTTAAACAACAGGAAGTGTGTCCCTAAACAGAAACACACATATAATCCCACAAAGCTGACCATTCTGTCTTCCCACACTACATTGGTTGAACCCTCTCTTCGTCTCCACCTTGTGCCATCCACTGAAAGAAAAGAGAGTTTGACTTTTCGTGTCCCGGTGATATCCATTCACGTGTTGGGGGACTTCTAGCTGGGAGACATTCCTCTGTCTGCTTTCCAGTGTAACTTTTTGGTGACGGGGGCTTCGTCTCTACTCAGTGCTTCAGCCTTGGTCATTCTGTTCCAAAACCATTAGTGTTCCTTTTGATCTCCTGCATCTTAATTGAGAAATGAAACGTGAATCACTGCTATTGTGCTTGCAGGAAGGTTTTTGCTGGAGCTGAAGACTGCTTGTCTGTCATCCTTTGTTCTTGATGCCAGCTCAACCCTGGCCCACCTTGGGACATTTACCGTATTACCCCGACTGTCTGAATCCTGTTTGGGAGCCTAGCGTGGGTCACAAAATACATCTGATGCAGTAACTCATGGGACAGCTGAGAGGACACAGACTTCCTGCCTGCTTCTCCAAGCATATCTGTGTTCTCTCTCTGCCTAATATATTGCCCGCTTTCTAGTCGGTATATTGAAGTGGAAAAAAGGCTGATTTGTTGTCTGCCTTTTTTCACAGTGAACTCTCTCAGGCTCTCTCAGCTCTTTCCCTGAATGCTCCAAGGAGAGCCTCCTGGTTAAGCCCCAGCATGTCTGTCTCCCCGACCTAACTTCTTGTGTCACTGGCCTTTCTGAGACAACATAGGCTATTGCTGGAGGACACTGGAATTTGAGAGGGGGTTGGTGGTACTTGTCAGTCTTCCAAAGCATTTATCATTTCTTTTATGTGAAGCTTTCAATTTTGAGACATCTAAAATGAACTAAGAAATAAGATGGACCATTTAATATTTTGGATGTAACTTGAATACAGTATGCTTTGGTTCTTTAAATTGCGTCTTAGTTTAGGTAAGAAGCTTTGGTAATATTGGCATAATTTAGATATTGTTTTATGTATAAATAATACAACCCTGCTGATTCCAGGGATTGGTCAAAATAGAGAAGATGGTATAGTTCTAGATTCAAATTAGAATGCTAGGTCAAGTTACTTAGATTCAGTTTTTCTGAGGTAGTATTTGTAACAGTCAAGCTAATTTGTTATTTTTTAAAAAGATGATTTGTTAAAATGAAAATGTGAACTTTGAGGTATGTTAATATATAAACAGTTTTCCCAGAAGTCGGATTGGCCTAAAAGATCATTTGCATCAGACACACTGGGTAAAAGTTCAGTTTAGACACAACTAAGCTGCACCTTGTGTATGTCAGTGCAATAGAAACAGCTTGAACTTGAGTCACCTAAAGAAGAGAATAATGAATTGTATGGAACAAGAAAATGTGTTCAGAGCGAGTCTGGCTTGACTCTTTGGTCTCTCAGTTCCTGGTAACCTATCTTCACTTGACAGCTCTTGGGAGAACTCTGCTTCCCAGGTTAAACCAGAGGATCCTGGAATGGAGCCATCGTAGTTTCATTTTAAAGTGGTGCATTTGTCTCTGAACATGACTCCTTCCCCTGGCAGAAAAAAACCCTGGTGTAGCTTTGGAGCTGGGCTATGAAGACTGGTGCTGCTGTCATCGTGTGGACTGCCTGGCGTATCACTGAGCAGGAACGTGGGCTGCTGTGCCATCATCTCCTGAGCTGGCTGAGCCTCTGTCCCTTATACCTGGGGCACCTGCTGTGTAACATGCTTCCTGGAAAATAATTCTTATCAAGCATTGACTTGGAAAAATGATTAACCCTGTTCTTTCATATTTACTGACATTTGTATTTTAAGATGTATAGCAATGTTCTTACTGGACATTGATTTTCTAACTGTTAGAGATATTTAAATGAAACTTGTCAATAAAAGAGGCTAAATGAAAGTTGGTGTCTTTTGGTTTGAATAATAATTTCCTTCGGTCCTTAGGGTACTGGATTAGACCAGCCTTTGAGTCACCACCCTTATCTGGCCAGGGAAGATTTTAGTCTGTTCAAGGCTCCCCCTCCCCCACGCCCCAAAAGAAGTTTTCTGTGCAAATTTGTGATGGCTGCTGACCACACAGGAAGTCCTCATTTGGTGTTAACCCTGTGTGCAGGGACCTGAAATGAAGGAAAAGGAAGTGAAGGCTTGTGTTGTAAGGGTGTCCACACACTCAGTGCCAAGTTCTGCTGGGGTTTCATATTATTTAACTGAGTTCATAAAACCAGCTTGTGTTCAATGCAGAGCCAGCGTTAGGGAAAATTTCCAGGCAGTTACCTCCAGTGTTGAAGAGCCCCCTCCTTCCCATCCCTACTCCCTGAGCTCTGTCTTCCTGCCTCTGAAGAGAGAAAGTTCCTAAGGATTGTTCCCCCAGCCCCCGCAGGGTGCTTCTTGAAAGCAATCCAACTATTAAGTCATTAACACTTCAGTGTGGGCTAGGGTGGTTCACCTGGGCTTGAAGAGGAGCAGGTTTGCTGGAGGGAAAGGTGGAAAAGGGAATGTCTGAGGTCTGATGAAGATAAGAGGAGGAGCTATTTCCCTCTTTAATATCACAAAACTGAAAAACTTGCCCCCGACACTATGGTAGGGCTGAGATTTGAACCAAATCCGCAGTCCATCCACTTGTCCCAATAATGGCCCCTTAAAAAAAGGAACATAATGCATGAAAGCTCTTTCATTGCACAGTTTCAGCCCAGGGTGGGTGGGGATGGGATGGAGAAGTAGGTGGTGCTGAAAAGAAGCTAGATATACTTAACACATGTGTTCCAATATTCCGTCATTTTGGAACATGATAAAAATACAAGGGGAAAAAATACAAGGGAAACGGAGAATTAAATTTTAAAGATTGAGCTCTTTGGACTCCTTCCAAGGGGAAGAAATAAATTCATGTCGTTTCCTTCATATCTAGAGTTTTTGTTTTTATTTCACTTGATGCTGTTAAATCCCCTATAGTGGTTCCCAGGCTCGTGGCCCTCTGAATCCTGGGTGGCCAGTGCTCCAAGCAGCTCCCTCTGGAATGGGTGAGTCCCTACCAGACTTCTATGGGTCAGAATGTCTTTGTTCCATGAGCCCTTGACCTTATCTGTCCTGTATGGGAAACTGCCTAGCTGCAAGGAGCAAGGCGGAAGTAGGCCAGGACACATTCCTTTCCCTCATGTCTGGAAAAGTGGTCTGTGGAGGGACTTTCCTAAACCTGCTCTGTCCCACGTCTTCACTCTTCCTGCCTTTCCAGAATTCTGGAAAGACCTCACTGGCCCAACCTCATCCTCCCTACAGCGGATGAAAAGAAAGAACGTCTGCCACCAAATGCTGCTCTGTCCGGTCCACCCTGCACACACCTCATGCCCTGGGTCCAAGGCTCCGGGGATGGCCCCTCCCAGTGGGGGGCTGAGAGGTGTGACCTTGGGCACAATGGCCATGAGGATGGGCCAGACAGAGCAGGGAAAGGAGCATGAGGAGTGAAGAACAGGGGTGGGTCTGGTCCAGTGGGTCTGAGGACAGACTCTGGGGTCTTTATGGATGCAGGGATGAGAGTGCAGTGAGGGTTGAGGCGGGAGGTAGCCAAATGTGGCTGGGTGGGCAAGGGGGACCCCTTCGGGTGGTCTCCTGGGAGAGGAAAGCGAGCCCAGCCAGGCAAGGAGCGCAGAAGGGACTGTGGGCGTGGCTTACTCCTGGTCAGCGTGGAGGTGCGGTGGGCGTGGCTTTCTCCTTCTCGGCTTGGAGGTGCGGCGGGGACAGCACTGCAGACCCCACCGCTCCCCTTCACTTCCCCTGCAGAGCTGAAACCAGGTGCTTTGGGGCGTTGGTTCTTGTTTTTCTCCTCTCCACTCCACTGCTGTAACATCAGTCCTGGCCCCCTGTTCTGCTGATTGTAGAATGAACGAGGAAGGATGGGGGGATTGACAGTGGGAGGGATGATTGGGGGGAGGAGGGAGCAGATGAAGAGGAATCAGTCAAAGAGAGGTCAGAGAAGTAGTAGCAAAACCGTGAGCGGTGGTGTGAAAAGGTGTGAGGAAAGGGGGTGAGGAGAAAACCGGTGGGTGTGGATAGACGAAAATGCACAAGTGATTTTCAAAGCATCGCTAAGGAGAGGCAAGGAATTCTCATGTGGGACTCAGGACACAGGGTGGGCCTGGATGGTGGGGGCTAGCTCTGTGATAAGAGGCGGGCTGAGCTGCTGGGATGACCCTTCCTCTGAAATAATGTGGCGTGGTGGGTAGCGGATGGGGAATGTCAAGGAGCTCACAGGTCCTTGGCTTGTGGGAAGGGAGAGTATCCCTGGGTTCACTTGGGGCTCCAGCGGCTTTGCTGACTCCAAACTGGACTTTGGCATGGAGGGACGGAGGAGCCAGCTCTTTTCTGATCTCTGCCTGGTGGTTGGTCACTCAATCCGGAGGAGGACGTGACAGGAGCACCAATGGGGAGCGCTCGCTCCTGGCACCGCCTGTCTAGGCCCTTTGCTGGGGGATTCTGCCCAGAAGCAATGTGAGACAGGAGTC